TGATGGCAGCTGCGTCCAACGTGATACCTTTTGGCCTGCTGTACATGAGACCCCTACAGTGGTGGCTCAAGACCAGGGGGTTCTCCCCGAGGGGAAACCCGCTTTGCATGATCAAGGTCATGCGGCGATGCCTACGTGCCTTGGACATGTGGAGGAAACCTTGGTTCTTGTCTCAGGTCCCGGTGCTGGGAGCTCCTTGTGGCCGCGTAACGCTAGCGACAGATGCGTCCCTCACCGGCTGGGGTGCGGTCATGAGTGGCCACCCTGCCCGCGGTCTGTGGAGCGATCGCCATCTCACCTGGCAGATCGTACAGGCCTTTTGTCCTCCTCCCTTCAGGGAGCCTGACCAGCAAAAGCTTAACTGCAAGTGTCCAGTGCTCGCATCCACAGAGCTGCCCTGTGGAGAAGGGCGGACCAACCAAGGCTCATTCGACCCGAGGTATAGCGGCCTCCAAGGCTTTCTTAGCAGGTGTGTCTATGCAAGACATCTGCAACGCAGCGGGATGGTCCACGCCCCTCACATTTGTCACATTCTATGACTTAGATATGCGAGCCACTCCTGGCTCTTCTGTTCTCTTGTCTTAGCTGTGCTCTTCCACACTAGACAGGGATTTGCAAGTCTGGCGGCGTGGGCATTCTCGTTCCCATAGCGTTTCCGACGCAGCTCGAGTTCCTGAAGGGGAACGTCTCCAGGTTACGTATGTAACCATGGTTCCCCGAAGGGAACGAGACGCTGCGTCTCAGGGCCATACTTCCGGCATCCCATGCGAACGCTTGCTTCATTCCTAGAAGCTGACGCCGGTTCCACCTCACGTGCTTTTATAGCTTCCTGGTCGCTACGTCACCCGCCTATGACGTCTCGCCCTTCCATTGGACTGATTACACATGTGATTCAGAGCGTGGTCACGCTGGGGGCGTTCCCATAGCGTTTCCGATGCAGCGCCTCATTCCCTTCGGGGAACCATGGTTACATACGTAACCTGGAGATGTTTTCTCTGAGTACTCTAAGTTTTCAGCCCTCTGATTCAACTGGCAAAGCAAAAACCAATTCCAGCATGGTGTCACTAACATTTCTACTTTAATAAGATTAGTAAGGACTAACAGCCGAAAGAGACATCAGCCAAGAGCAGGTGTTCGTTCTGATGATTTATTCATGATCCAATTATGAGCTTCAACCAATATTCTGTCTCAAGTGCAGTGACATTTCAACTACTATTAATTGCTTTATACAGTCAGTTTGGTAATCATGCATCGCTGAATATCATTCAAAGACGCTCCATTTATATCTAAAGCAGATGGAAAATCTGCCTGGTGACTAGAAAACTGGTGCCATAACTGTGTCTTATCCTTTATAGTCAGATGGACACTGGCCTTTGATGAAGATCTCTCACTCGTTGGGAGAACCATTCATTTACAGATTACTTCCGAAAGTGCAACGAGTCTTGCAAATGCCACAGAACAAAAAAAAGCATAACTGGTGATGAGTTTGTTTTCTGTTTTAACGGTAATCAATACTAGCATAGTTGTTTGCCGATGTGTGTTGTGTTTTGTATTCTGGTGTGCAGGTTTGTTTCCACCTTTTTCCTTATCTGCTTTTTTTATTGCTTCATTTTTTAAAATCTGGAATGGGATAGATGTCCTGTTGCTGTCGTGGCACAAAAAAACTGATCTGATAAAAGATCTGATTTGCACTGAAGACTGATTTTATTGCTGTGTCACACCTGGTTAGCAAATGGAATAAAGCTGTAAAACCAAGTTAGCTGACTGGCTTAACCAGCAACAGCCTGCTGATTCATTAGCACTTCAGTCAAACAGCTTTCTCATCTTTGCTTTGCTGGTAACAAGCATGGTTCTGGTTTGTCCTGTTAGATTAGCAGATATTGTATCCAAGGATGCAGGTGGGTGGTGCAAGGCAAAGGAGACCGTGTTGTATTGAAGTTTACTAAGAAAAGCCAGTTTTAGCATACATTAGTCCACTCTGAACAGAGCACAAACTTCACTCTTCACCCCAGTAAACCCTAAAATTCTGCAGTAGCAAACTCTAAAAATTCTAAAAAAAAAAAACAAAAACAGAATTCTTTCTAAATGGCAGCATAACAGAACATTAAGCAGTCACACATTTCCCCGTGCTCATATTGCTCAAAAACACATAAAATAACACTCAGCTGTCTATACTTTTATTCATCCCCTTTAGGCTCACACAAAGCATGCTGGGTACTGAAAAACCTCTTGATAACACAATGTTACAATATGTTATTATTCATCCATTAATTCTTTATGGTTGCGCGGTTGCAGTTGAAATGAACAAAATGTCAATTTCAAAAAAATCAAATAAATAAATTAATAAATGGATGTAGAAAATGAAGACTATTTTTAGAAACATTAAAAGATGTTGTGCATTTTAACATCATTTGCATAACAATTAACACACATCCTGATCCTCCCCCAAATTTTCATTCTCGTTTGAATGGTTTATTGCATTTGGACATTTTATTTAGGTATTTTTAATTAATTACTTTTAATTATTCTCAGTAGATTTTCATGACTCTAAAGCAGTGTTTTTGTTACTGTATCCCTTTTTTATTTATAGTGGTATAAATTAAAGGAGGTACACAACAATATGACCCTATATTTAAATCTAATACATTTCTGAGGGGTGAATTCTGGTTGATTTGGACACTTGCTAGACATTTCAATGGCACAAAGTGTCCCACTCAACCTGAATTTACCTATATAAACCACTTTTAATTATATTAAAATGTAAATAATTATTATATATAATAATCGTTATATAATACCATATCATATAATATAAAAAATAGATTACAATCATTTAAAATATTACTAATAATTTTTTTATTAAAGTATTTTACCTAATGATTCTTTGAATTTTGTGTTGATATGACCAGAGTTTCCTCCTCTACCTGTTAAAGTAATGTTTGATTCTCAAAGGGATGATTAGAGACTACATTTCTAATTGTGAAAGTTATTACGATGATCTGCCTGAGCATCATCACAGCTTCTTGGCAACAGCGTGGAGAAATCTATCCGCCCCCATCCTCTGATTTGTAACGCGCAGCTTTGACTTGTTCCCCATTCAATATATTACCCAGACATTAAACTCCCTGCTGTCAGCATGTGAAGACTAATACAGCCATTATCAGCAGCAGCAGCAGAGCAACCATAACTTTAAGAAGATAATATTAGGATCTCACAATGAATGCACAACGTGCGCACTCCCCTGGCACAATAAAACAGCGGGGCTCCTGGAGATGTTGTATATGAGACGGCAAACAAACAAGCCAAGCCATTCTTATGCCATCAATATGCCCATAGTATTTCCAGTTCAGTTATTTAAGTATCACCCCTCCTCTGTGTTTAGCACCCAAGCATAGGTCTCTGCTGCAATAGCGTTTTAAACCCAATGTCTACAACTGTCAAAACGCCCACTTTTAAAAGCAGTTGAAGTTCATAATAAATCACTGAGTTGTTTGTTGAACCGTTTCTTGTACGATATAATTGAGAATAGTTCATCAGAAGCGAGGTGAATATAACAATAATGCGGCTTACCTTTCAAACACCTCCTGTGGTTTATGTCCGGTTAGATGCTTCTGTCTGTCTGCATCAGCACCAGCGCACACGGGGAGCGCCCATCCGCTTAGGGACCGTGTGTAAAGTGACAAGCCATCAACAAACACGAAAACGAAAAAGTTTTGACTCTATGTTTCTGATTATTACAGATGCCAGCTTGTTGGCATGACCCACATCATGGAATGCTAACTTTGTCTTAAGGCATGATTTTATATGTATAAATCGCTGCAAAAATAATTAAATAAACGTATAAAATAAGCGTTGATTTGCACAGCCATCTGCTGGTGAAAGTTGTAAGTGCGTGGCATCCGTCCATATTAATGAGTCAACGTGCACATTGTGTGGAAAACAGTATGATTCAGCGGCACACCACACGTGTACAATATGGATATAAAATCACATAGCCACACACAATAATAATTTAACACACAAACATATCCATATAACAAGTGTAGATATATAGGGTTGTCTGTTTTTCTTATTTCTAGTGGAGCTGGATGCTGTATCCACACCAACAGGCGGTGCTAAAGTACTGAGACACATCGCGAACAGATGCGCTCAGTATTACGAAATTAAAACTGATTTGCTTTTTCTGAATGAATTATTTGTGGTTTATCTTCTAGCACCGTGAGCGAGGGATGCGCTTCTGTGCGGAGGATACTCTTCGGGTCTAGCCGGAGTCAGGTAATAACCCAGCAATGTCTTCATCCTCTTCAACAATAAGCCTCTGTTTCAAACAGATATGGTGCTTTAGGCTTTATAGTTCCTTAATCTATTCATCACGAACCCTGCCTGCTGTTAGTTTGTATTAGAATTTAAGTTTTGATATATATTAGACCTCTGCGGGTTTTTTAGGGTATATTTACTGAAATGCATCCATACGGTTCATCACATCTTTTCTCACTCCATTGTCTGAAAATATGATGCATTTTAGCGTAATTATTACTAATAAAAACATGCCATTTATATTTAAAATCTAAAGGATGCCAATTCTGTTCTGTGTAACAATTGGTGGGAAGTTCTGTTTAAAAATGTTATATCTGAGCGATAGGGTTATGTGTCTGTTTCCTGATTGATGTATGTACAGTATGGACACACACACACACACACACACACACA